GGGGGTGTCAGGCATCTGGGGGGTCACACATCTGGCGGGTCACACATCTGGGGGGACGCACATCTGGGGGAGAAACACATCGGGGGCCCGGGCGATACGGGAACGTGCTTCCCCCTCGTGGCCGCAGGGAGGGACTGCACCCTGACCCCCCCCCCGGCCCCCCCCCCCCCGACTGGGGAAACTGAGGCACGAGCCCGACTCCCGCATTCCTCTCTCCCCACTTTAGGGGGAATTCACGGCTCCCCAAAACCTGCTCCCCTCGGCTGTGCCCGTGCGTGCCCCGGCGGTCACAGAACACCCCCAAAGGGGGGTCACCTGCTCTGTGAAACACCTGCGGGATGCAGGACCCCAGCGTCCCTCCGTGGTGGGGTCAGCTTGATCCACAAACCTGGGGAAAAAAATGGAGAGAAAGTCAGGCGGGATGGGACAGCGGGACTGGGGGGCACAGACTCGGGGACACAGACGGGATCCTCGGGGACACGGGGGACACGGCCCAGCTGAACCATCACCCCTCAAGTTGCACCAGAGAAGCCAAAAGGCTTAAAATGAACCCAAACCCCACAACTCTGCGCCGGCAGAGGAGGTTCAGCGGTCACCCCAATCCCACAGACACGACCCCCGGGCACCCAGCGTCCCCCCAGCCAAGCTGACCCCACGCCTCTGGGGGATGATGACTCCCTGCATCCATCCCTCACCCAAATCCTGGACCCTCAGCCCGGATCCGGCCCCTTCCTCAGCACAAACCACCCAGGGAGGCTTTTCCTGGCAGTGACGGCTTTGGGGTGAGCCCGGGATCACCCCGCGGGCTCAGAGTCCTGCGGGTGACAGGGTTGGGTCCTGCCAGGCAGGACGTCACCGACACCCGGCCCCGGGGTGAGGGACCTTGGGGTGGGGCACGCCGGGCTGCGCTCCCCTGGGTGCCCGGGGCCAGCACGCCCTGCCGAGGGGCGGGGGGCCCGGGGAGGCTGCAGAGGCGGCGGCTGTGCCAGGTGGTTGCGTCCCCCCCGTCCCTCCCCCGCTTTAACGAGAGGGCAAAGAGCGGGAGGGTGCGGTGCCACCAAGGCCTGTCCCCTGCCCGTGTCACCCTCCGCAGTCACGGCCCGAGCGGCGGAGCCAGCGATCGAGGTGAGCGGGGACACCCCGGGGCAGCGACCCCATCTCGGGCTTTGGGGGTTTGGCCTCGGCCGCTGGGTGACCCCCTCGGGGCTGGGATGGAGCAGGGGGACCGGGATAGAGGGACGGGGGGGGTCCTGGTCCGGGGTGGGGGGAGGGGTAGCATGTCCCTCGGGTGTTTGGGGACACATTGGGGGTGACACAGGGTCCGCACCCAGGACCCCACAGCAGGATCGAGACGCTCTTGCTGCTCCCGGCAGGATGGGAGACCCGTTCGGCGGCTGGACCCCGTCATGGTGAGCGGGTCCCCACCGCGGGACCCCCGAGGGCTGGGCGGGGGAGGGGGGCAGCGCTGTGAAGGTCCCTCTGTCCGTCCAGGAGCGAATATGCCGACAGGACCCCTCCCCGACATTCCGGGAGCTTCGTCCGCCTCACCGGGAAAAGCATCTACAGTGAGTGAGGGCTGCACCCCAAAAACCCCTCTAATCCCACCCCCCCCACCGTGCCCAGCTTGTCCCTGTCGCCTCACCCTGCGTGTGCCCCCAGACCAGCGCAAGGAGTACGGGCACACCCTGCTCAGGCTCCACAACGATTTCCAGCACCACGTTGAGGTAGGAGCCCCCTCCAACTGCCCCGCGCCCCCCGGCCCTGCCAGGGCCCCCCTGTGACACCGGCTGTCCCCCCAGCACCTGCTCACGATGCCCTTGGAGCAGGACCTCCGCAGTGCCCAGGATTGTCTGGGGCGCCTGAAGGACCTGGAGGAGCAGGGCCGGGTCTGGGGGCAGGATGTCATCCTGGCAGTCAAGGACCAGGAGCTGGTGCTGAGCGATGTGGAGAGCAAGGTACCCCCCGGCCAGGGCACCCCCAAAGCCCAGTACCCTCTGGCCATGGAACCCTCCGGTACCTGGTACCCCCTGAATCCCGCTATTCCCTGAGCAAGGCACCCCCAAAACCCAGCACTCCTCAACCAGGGCACCCCAAGCCATCCCCAAACCCCGGTACCCCCTGGCCAGGGTATCCCCTGAATCCTGGGATGTCCTGCCTATGGGAACTCCCCAAATCCCAGTCCCCCTGGTCCAGGTATCCCCAAACCCCAGCAACACCCCACTGCCCCCAACCCCGCAGCTCCTGTAGCCCTGGCACCCCCCAATGTGGGCATCCCCCCCGTCTGGCACCCACAACCCTGCCCCACCCCCAGACTCAGCCCCCCAAACTCTGCTATCCCCCTCCCACGCCACCCCACCACCCCCATTAAACTTCACCCCACAGCCCGATCCCCACAGCCCCACTTGCACCCCTTTAACCCTTTCCTAGCCGCTCGGGTGGAGGGACCGAGCACCCCGTTCTTCCCTTTCCAGGACGAGCTGGAGGCTTTCCCGCTGGGAAGCGTGCAGGGATGCTCCGCCGGGCTGGACAACACGGTGCTGGCTGTCAGCGTCCAGGAGAGGAACCCGCCGAGAACCAGCGTGCTGCTCTTCCAGTGCGAGCGGCTGGGGGTGAGCCCTGAGGGGGGAGGAATGGGGGGCAGCCCCCCGGAATGGGGCGCTGATGGCAGGGGGTCCGTGCCAGGCAGAGACTCTGAGGAGCAGCCTGGAGAAGGTGCTGAGGCAGAGGAAGGAGGAGCAGAGCGATCACTACGGGCACAGGTACGGGGGGGAAGTGACTCTGAGACCCCTCCCTGGAGACTGGGCACCCAAGTCTCGCTCCCCAGAGTTGTGGTGGGTCTGGCGATGGGGTCTCCACACTGCCCCAGTGTCCCCCAGAGAGTCCCTACCCTGCCTGTGGGTTCCTGAGGTTGAGGGAGGGCCTTTCCCCAGTGCCCCCGCTCCTGCCTCAGCTCCCCCTTCCTACCCCAGCCCATGAATCCATCCCCCACCCCACCCAAGGGCTCAGCCTCCTTCCTACCCCTCCTCCTCCACCCCATCCCCAGGCTCAGTTCCCCCCTCCCACTCCTCATCCCGGTGGGCACAGACCCCCCACAGCACCCATGAGCTCGGTGTCCCCTCGGTGTCCCCTCGTCCCCGAGGACACAGCGTGTTCCCCACCCTATTTCCCATCCCGGGCTCAGACCCCCTCTCCTCCTCCCTCTTACTCCCCCAGCCCCCTCCTAGCCCATACCCCACACCCAAACCCGCCCCGCCAGGCTCAGCTCCCCCTCCCCATCCATCCCTGTTTCCCCGGAGCAGCCCGGACACGCCACCGAGCCCGGCTCCCCCGTACCCGGCCCCGGAGCGCTGGGCAGAGCCCCCCCAGCCCGACCCCCAGGAGCCCCCCCAGCGCAGGCTGCTCTCCTCGGAGTACCGTGAGTGTCGGGCGGGGGAGGGAGGGACCGCATCGTGCCTCAGTTTCCCCGGGAGCAGGGGGTGACGCCGGGGACACTGTAGTGTCACCAGGTGCCCCGGACCCCCCTCAGATGCCGCGGAGCCGCCCCCCCGGCCAGGCTGTGCCCGAGGTGGAGAGAGATGTTGTAAGTGGCAGCCCCCCGAGTCCTCCCCGGCTGCGGACCCCGCAGCTCCCCCCAGCACGCACCGTGCCCCTGCACCCACAGGAGATTCTCAACCACGTCCTGGGGGACCTGGAGCTCTTCATGGGCCGCCTGAAGAAGGCCCTGAGCTCGGCCAGCACGAAGAAGAAGCGGAAGAAGCCAGGTAGGAAGGGAGGGGGGTGTCCCTGGGGGGCTGCCTGGGGTTCTGGTGCGGTCAGGCCGGTACCAGCCCCCAGCTCTGCCCCTCCAGCGCTGCCCCCGAAGGATGGGTACACGGATTTCTTCCAGAAGGTGAAATACGCCCTCAACCTCATGGTAGGTCCCGTTGGGCTGGATGGGAGTGGTTTGGGGTCGGGGGGGATGTGGGGAAGGGGCCTAAATGGGAAAGGGGGTCTGTGTGGGGATGGGGGGGCTGTG